CCTTCAGTTTGATCTACTGTTTGTAACAGCTGCATTCAAAGCTCATTTCTCAGTCGAACAATAAACTATAGAAAAATTACACTAAGGTCGTTTCTTTTGTAAACACATGTAGATAAAGTAGGACATTTGTTTGTTAAAAGAGACAAACATGTTTTTGAACCGGCATAGAACAGTTTAGACTTTTCCAAATACACTGAACACCAGGCAGGTAAGAGTCTTGAACTTTGACATCTCTGTCACCCTTCACCTTCTGAACCTTTAGTTCAGTGTCGGCAGGAGCTGGTTCTCTAAGTGAACCGAGTCTATCCGGCTTGTGAAGCGTGACTTTCTACAGAGTTGTCTTTTACTTACGTCACAGGCAATTTGCACGTTCGCGATCTGAGAGACTTATTGGCTACAAAGATGCAACTCAACGGTTTGAATATGAATTCAAACTGCGGCCGTACTGATTTTAAAAGTAGTGAAGTAGATTACATGGTCTGAACTGTGCTTCAGTACGAGTAAAACTACACACTTGAAAGAAATAATCATAATTTAGTACAAGTACACAAAAAATCTGCTTAATTACAGTAATGTAAGCATTTGTAATTCATTACTTCCCTCCCTGATCAGAATAGATTATAAAATCCTCCTGTTGACCTTTAAGTACCTAATTGGTTTTGTTGCACCTTCTTGTCTCTCTTCAACCAGATGTTCCCTCTCAGGCGCTGAGATCAGCTGATCAGCTGCTCTTGGTTGAAGCTCAGAGGAGATCGGGCTTTTTCAGTCGTGGCCCTAAACTCTGGAACAATCTGCCCAACATTAGACTGACCACTTCCTGTTTTTAAATTTATTTTTAAAACACCTGTTTTCACAGAGATATTTCATTGTTTTGTGTTTTAATTCATTTTTGGTATTATTTTCTTCTTTAAATTAGTGCTGTTGATTTTTATTGTTAAAAACTTTGGCAACAGCTGCTGTTCCTAAATGTGCTTTATAAATAAAGTTGACTTGACTTGAGCGCCTGATTTAAAATATATGCTGGTAGTTTGGCTGAAAAACAACAAAAACAGCTTAAACGCTGACTCATGATTCATACAAAAAGGGAAAAACAACAACAACTAAAACATTACAGTCTTAAAATTGTTTCAGTTCATAATGAAACAAACAAACTTGGCCCAAACTCGTGGCAGCTTTAACTCAAATGTATTTTCTGGTGTTTTGTTTGTAATGTCCTCTCGTACGTCCTCCTTCCTCTCAGAGAGCCTGATGAAGCAGACGTTTGGAGCGCGTCGTTGCCAGGTTTTGTCTCCGGGCTGTGGGCGGAAGCTGCTCCGAGTTGTGATTCTCAGTGTGGTGGTGAGGAGCTGCTGGGATGAAGCAGCAGCTTCATGCTGGATCTCAGCCTCATGGTTCTGCTGGGATGAAGCAGCAGCT